GAGCCACCTGCACGCCAGGCACGGCCCTGAGCCCCTCCCTTCCCCCAGGTGAAGTGAATGCAGTGAAACGGATCCGGAGGCCTCGGACCGACAGCCGAGCAGGTCTGCGGTCTGGGCTGGGGGACACCCCGCTCGGGTCCTGGCTGGGCCACAGCCTTGCAGCCGAACCACAGCGAGAGGCGAGGTCCCTCACAGGCTGCCGGCACCTTCTGCAGAAAGCACTGCGGCTGTTCTGACCGAGAAGAGGCGGCGCTGACTTTCCCAGGACAATTGAAACGACCCAGCCCGGCCGGCAGGTCTCAGGGGCCGAGCGTCGACCTAGGAACCAGGAGGTCAGGGTTCGATTCCCAGTCAGGGCTCAGTAAAATATTAAAAATAAATAAATAAATAAATAAATAAAAATAAAACTCTGCCTAAATCCCAGCCCCTGGCTGCCGACCTGGAGCTGTCGGCCCCGAGCAGGAGGCAGCAGGGCCAGCTCCCTGGCTCAGCTCCCGGGGAACGGCCCCAACGAGACCCTCCCTCCCCCAAAGCTCTCGGGGTGCCAGGGAGGGGACTCCCCCGGCTCTGAGCAGCCAGTCCTGGGAGGCGACTTGGGGTGAAGCCACAGGCCGGCGTCACCGAGCCCGTAATCCCGCACGCGGCCCGGCTGTAAACACAGGTCTCTGGGCCCCTGCTCAGATGTCACGCCCGTGAGCCCTTAATCGTGGCCAAGGCCGTTTCTGGACCCCGTCCAACCCGCCGATGTCTTTCCAGAGCCGGGATCCGGGCTGGGCACACGGCGTGTTCCCAATGGAGCTGAACCCCAACAGGCGGGAGGCACACCTGCGGCTGGCAGGCCACGGCCACTGCTAACCCGGACCCGGGACAGCCCGTCTCCCGGGCCGTGGCGATCCCTGCTCACGGCACCGGCCCTGACACCGACTTCCTGGAGACGCCACAGAAATTATAAAATCATACGTTCACATGGATCGGCGCTTTCAGCACGAGACGCACACTGACCCCCAGGCTCTGCCCTACAGAAACCCCGGTGCTGGGTCAGCGCTGCCCCGCGGGGCGATGTCTGGCCTTGCACCTGCGGCTCCCACCACGCCTCACACGCCAACCCAGACCCACGCCCCATGGCACTGCCCACGTGGTGCCCTCGGCCACCAGCAGGGGGGCTGCGTGGTCATGCGGGAGGGGGTCCCCCAACAGTCGTGGCTTCATGAGAAGCTA